GAAGTTCTTACTGACAACACTCTTCACTATTTGACAGGTCGCCATTCTCGCTTTTCCTCTCTGGACCACTCTAACGATACACGATCATCATTTAAAGGAAATCTTGCAATTCAAGCGTGACGTAACGGTAATTTTTAGACTTGACCTAATAAGCAGAATCCGTTACATCGCCAAGACTTCCGGCTCTTAAAATTCAGCGAGAAAGTTTGTTAGTCTGACTGAATTGAGAGCGTGGAAAACGGTTTAATACTAGAATCCAACGTGAAACGCTAAAACCACTGTTTGAAAATCCAAGGCAAACACCAAATAATTTTAGCTACACTTCTACTTATTATTGGGTATGACCATCACGACACTGAGATTATTTCAAATGTCGCGTCATAGCCACTTGATTCCTGTCTTCGCGTTTCTTTTTTGGCGAACATTTACCATATGGTAACACTTCACACGACACATACAGGAGGGTCTCAATGGTGTTAACCATTAAACGTAAAACGGCTTAAAACTTTTGCCGTTAGGCGTAAAAATTGACAAGTTTTAACCGTTAGTCGTAAAAAAAGTTAACAGTTGAAAAAAGATTTGTTGACAACAGAAAAAAGTGTTAGCCGTAAAATGACCAAAAGAAGGCATCACCCCGTTGAGCCCCACATACGTACAGCGGTCATTCACAGACTTTTGTCGCTCACAACGATAACCCTTGATATAAGAACAAATTCCAGATTTTCATAGCTTACAGCGATAATCCATTCCAGAGTTTAAAAGCCGTGAACATTCGCACCCCAAATGACCCCCAAAAGACTCAGAAAGAGGAGAAGATGATTTATGTTCAAGGGAGAAAATTACGAAGTGGAAATGGGAAAAGACAACTTACGATGTGCATAACTGGAATGAAGTATCCAAACATAACAATTGTATTTGCAGAGCAAAATACTAAAAATCTGTGGTTCTTCAGTACATGTGGTTCATTATCCTTCTTCTTGTCTGTTCCAATTCTATCCAGAGTTTGTTCATCACTTTCCTTCGCTTTGTTGACCGGTAGATATAAAGCTGAACACAAACCACACATTAAAAACAGACCCGCTATTCCTCGCATGGCCCATCGCCAGCCAAAGGCACTTAGTAGTGCTTGAACAAATTGTGTCATGGCAAACGCAGAAACCGATGTTGCCGATGCGACGAGTCCGACCGCCACAGAACGCCATTTCACAAAATACTTTAAAACGACCAGCATCGATGTACTATAGATCGTTGTGCTTCCAAACCCCGTCAGGAAGCCATAAGTCGGGTACATCATCCATAGCTGAGCAGAAAATGAAGCCAGGCCTATGCCTATTAGGCTCGCCACAGATCCCAGAATGGCGGTAGCCCGGAAGCCGAAACGGTTTGTAACATGGACGCTGAATGGGTTAAGAATGTAGCCACAAGCCGTGTTCAAGGATCCAACCCATGCTAGGAAAAAAAGTAGAAAACATTTTGAAATTACACAGGTACGCGGGCTGCAGAGTGGGGTAGGGATAGGGTAAATGAAACTGATCTCGAACGAAGTAATATCAATTTTAGTCTGTACGTGACTCAGCTTGTTTATTTATTTATTTTTTTTTGTGGTTTCGCCATATGATAAGGCGATGGAAAATGTTGAATGATTTAAGCCAAAGTGACTTCGAATTTTAACAAAACTTTTTTTGTTGACCTGAATTCGAAAAATGATACCATAATTGTATAAATAACGATTTTCAAAAAAAACTTTAAACCTCTTGAAACAGGGAAAGATGACTTTTACTACAATGTAGTTTACTCCTAAATACATCCAAACCTTGCGAAACGGTCAATGTTGAGCAGATAGTTATATATATTTAGTCCCATAAAAAAATAGTTTTAAGTTTGCTACTCATGTTTCGACTTTACTCATCTCATCTTCAGATGCAGTTGCTCGCGTGTTGCAATTTGAATTTAACTGAACAAAACATTTTTTAATTACGACGTTAGATTACGTGAAATATTTGAAAAAAATATAGCAGAAGCTCAGAAAGGCAATATTGGTATTTTGAAGTAACCCAGAAAAAGCCAATACAATATATACTAATAAAAAAAAACATAAGTTAAATGTTAATGATAAATATGTTAAAAAAATTAAGTTAAAATAGAGAGATAAATCTAATTGTTTCAGCTGTTGGTATTAAGTCGAATTCTCCCATTTAATATTCATGGCCTCTTTCATCTTTACTCGAAAATTTAGATGGCAGAATCCAAAATCGCGAAAGATGATTCTGCAGAGCATAAGTCTTGACAAGGTTTAGATGACTGAATTGGATTGCCAGTGCTTGTGGACGTGTGAAACCTTGTCCGATGAAAGGTTCTCTGCTGTGGCATGGAATCTTCTACGCGAAACATTTTAGCACCATGTGTCGGACAAAGCTTTGCATGTTTCAAGCTCTTTTTTCTTGATTACCTCAAAATCCTTCTGTTGCCTTCCTGTGATGC